CTGACGGTGGGAGAGAGAGAAAGTGAAAGAGGGGGGTGAGAATAATGAAAGAGAGAGAGAGAGAGAGAAGGGAGAAAAGAGATAAGAGGAAATGTGTGTGGGGGAGGGGGGGGGTAGGGAGGGTGAGAAAGAGTGGGAGAGAATGAGTATGATTATAACGGAGAGAGAAAGAGAGTGGGGGGAAACGAAAATGGGGGGATGAGGGGTGTGTGAATGAAGATGGAAAGGAAAAAGACGAGAAAGGATGGGAGAGAATGGTGGGGGGGGGGATAACAAGAGTGGAGAAAAATTGGAGAGAATGGAGAGGTTAGAATGATGAGAGAAGAGAGAGAAAGATATAGAGATTTACAAACAAGAGAGAAAGAGAGAGAGAGGGAGAGAGGGGAGGGAGAGAGAGAGAGAGAGAGAAAGAGAGAGAGAGAGAGAGAGAGAGAGAGAGAGAGAGAGAGAGAGAGAGAGAGAGAGAGAGAGAGAAAGAGAGAAAGAGAGAAAGAGAGAAAGAGAGGGAGAGAGAAAGAGAGAAAGAGAGAAAGAGAGAAAGAGAGAGAGAGAGAGAAAGAGAGGGAAAAAAAGAAAGGAAATGAGAGAGATAAAGAGAAAGAGAAAGGAGGCACGAAGAGAGAGGAGACGAAGAAAGCTGTTCAATATAACCTAGAGCCATTCGTTAGCGACCTGTCGATACGAAAACGGAAAAAAAGAGAGAGAAAAGAAAAATAAAAGAGAATCATTCGGAGGCGATATTTTATTGGTTGCTCCTTTGTTTCCTGAGAACAGTGAGAGCGCTGTATTAATGTGTAATGATGGAGTGCTATAAAGTCCATTACTCTAGTACAATAACGTAGCCATGTATCAATGTACTATGTAATGGATTCATAATGAATATATGGGTAGTAATAACACAGCTATTATAGGTACGTTGTAATCAAATATGGCAAGGTGAAATATCTATCTATCTATCTATCTATCTATCTATCTATCTATATGTATATACAGTTGCAAATACACAGCTACTGAAAGGGAATAGGAGATGGAAGGAGGGAAGGAGGTTGGAGGAATGAAGAAAGGGATAGAGGAAGAGGAGAGGAGGGATGGGGAGAACAAGGGAGGAAGAGATATAATAGAACGAGATCGAGACAGAAAGAGAGAGATCGAGACAGAGACAGAGAGAGAGAGAGAGAGAGAGAGAGAGAGAGAGAGAGAGAGAGGAGAGAGAAGAAGAGAAGAAGAGAAGAAGAAGAGAAGAGAGAGAGAGAGGAGAGGAGAGAAGAGAAGAGAAGAGAAGAGAAGAGAAGAGAAGAGAAGAGAGAGAGAGAAGAGAGAGAAAGAAGAGAAAGAAGAGAGAGAAGAGAGAGAGAGAAAGAGAAAGAAAGAGAAGAGAAGAGAAGAGAAGAGAAGAGAGAGAGAAAGAGAGAGAGAGACAGAGAAGAAAAGAGAAGAGAAGAGAGAGAAAAAAAAAACTAAGCAAACAAACAGACAGAGAATTCCATAACGTAAAAAAGAAAATAAAAACACAAGAAACAAAAGACAGAAGAGAAGCAGCAAGAGAAAAAACACACACACAACCCGATAACAACCCTCCCCTCCCCCCTCCTCCACAAATAAAAGAAAAAAGTGCAAAAAAGGTGAAAAAATACGACACTCTCTTTCCCTCCCTGTAATGGATCTCTCTCCCTTTGTTTTTCATCTCCGTCTAACTCCTCTTTTTGCTTTCCATCTTTATCCCTCTTTTCTCCCCACCTCTTTTATCCCCTTCTCTGTCTCTCTCTCTCTCTGTTGCACTCGACGGTCCAATCTTTTTTAATTTCTTCCCATCTTTTCATTGTTTGTTTTTATTATTATTTTATCATTTGGTTCTGTCCCCTCGTTGCAAATTTGGTTTGCTTTGTTTTGCATTTCTTTCTGTTTGTTTGTTTCCCCCTCTTTCTACTTTTGCCTGCTTCTTCCTGTGTTCTCTTTTCTTTCTTTATCTAGCTCCCTTTCGTCTCTTTGTGTTTTCCCTCTCTCCTCCCTGCCTGCCTGCCTGCTTGCCTGTCTGTCTGTCCGTCTGTTTGTCTATCTGTCTATCTGTCTGTCTGCCTCTCGCCCCCCCCTCCTTCTCTCTCTCTCTCTCTCCTCCCCCCTCTCCCTCTCTCTCCCTCTCCCTCTCTTTCCCTCTTCCTCTTCCTCTCCCTCCCTCTCCCTCCTCTCTCTCTTCTCTCTCTCTCTCTCTCTCTCTCTCTCTCTCTCTCTCTCTCTCTCTCTCTCTCTCTCTCTCTCTCTCTCTCTCCCTCTCCCTCTCCCTCTCCCTCTCCCTCTCCCTCTTCCCTCTTCCTCTCTCTTCCTCTTCCTCTTCCTCTTCCTCTTCCTCTTCCTCTTCCTCTTCCTCTCTCTCTCTCTTTCTCTCTCTCTCTCTCTTCCCCACATCTCTCCTCCTGCTTCATTTTTCTTCTCCTCGCTCTCCCCACTCATCTCTCCAATCTCTCTCTCTCTCTCCACTCGCTAGTCCTTTCGTCTCTCCCCCCCCCCATCTCCATCTTCAATATTCCTTTCACTGTAAATCCGATCAAAGATTCCACAGTAATAAACCCACGCGGATCGTCCTTATGTATCTCTCTAAGCGGCTGCGGATGTCTCTCTTCTTTATCCCTCTTCCTCATATTCTTTGTCTTCGTCTTCTCCTCCTACTCTTACTCTTACTCTTTCCTCCTCCTCCTCCTCCTCCATCTTCTCTTCGTCCTCTTTCTCCTCTTCCTCCATCTTCTCCTCGTCCTCTTTCTCCTCTTCCTCCATCTTCTCCTCCTCCATCTTCTCCTCGTCCTCTTTCTCCTCTTCCTCCATCTTCTCCTCCTCCTCCATCATTTCCTCGTCCTCTTTCTCCTTTTCCTCCATCTTCTCCTCCTCCTCCATCTTCTCCTCCTCCTCCAACCTCCTTATCCCCTCCTTTTAGTCCTTCCCCCCCCTCTTCCTCCTCCTTTTCCTCCTCCTTCTTCACCCCCCATTCGTTCTCCTCTCTCTCTCTCTCTCGTGGACCCTGTGCTTGACATTTAAATTCCAGGACATCCATGAAACTTGTGTCGCTCAAGAGATGGCGGAGGGGGGTGGGGCAAGGAGGGGGAGGGGGGAGGAGGAGAAGGGGAGGAGGAGAAGGGTAGGAGGAGGGGGAGGAGGGGGGAGGAAGAAAAGGAGGGGGAGGAGGAAGGGGAGGGGGAGGAGGAGGAAGGGGAGGAGGAGGAGGAAGGGGAGGAGGAGGAGGAAGGGGAGGGGGAGGAGGAGGAGGAGGAGGAGGAAGGGGAAGAGGAAGGGGAGGAGGAGGAGGAGGAGGAGGAGGAGGAGGAGGAGGAGGAGGAGGAGGAGGAAAAGGAGGAGGAGGAGGAGGAGGGGGGAGGAAGAAAAGGAGGGGGAGGAGGAAGGGGAGGGGGAGGAGGAGGAAGGGGAGGAGGAGGAGGAGGAGGAAGGGGAAGAGGAAGGGGAGGGGGAAGGGGAAGAGGAAGGGGAGGGGGAGGAGGAGGAGGAAGGGGAGAGGGAAGAGGAGGAAGGGGAGGAGGAGGAGGAGGAGCAGGGGGTGGAGGGGGGAGTAAGAAAAGGAGGGGGAAGAGGAAGGGGAGGAGGAGGTGGAGGGGGCAGGAAGAAAAGGAGGGGGAAGAGGAAGGGGAGGGGGGAGGAGGAGGAAGGGGAGGGGGGAGGAGGAGGAAGGGGAGGGGGGGAGGAGGAGGAGGAGGAGGAGGAGGAGGAGGAGGAAGAGAAGGAGGAGGAAAAGTAGAAAGAGAAAGAGAAGAAGAAGGAGGAGTAATTTGAGGAAAAGGCAGAGGAATAACAGGAGAACGAATAAGAGAAATAAGAGGCAGCAGAGAGGGGAACAAAGAAAGAAAAAAAAATGATTGGAAGAGGGGGGGGGGGGCAGAAGAACAGAAGACAAAACAAAGAACAGGGAAAGGAGACGGGAAGAGAAAGAGGAGAGAAGGAAAGAAGGAGAGAGGAGAGAAGGGATTGGCGAGAGGGAGGGGAGAGAGAGGAGAGAGGAGAGGGGAAGAGGGACGGGAAAGGGAGGGGAGAGGAGTGGGAGAGAGGGAGGGGATGAGAGAGGAGAGAGGGGGAGAGGAGAGAGGGGAGAGGCGGAGTGGGGAGAGGAGTGGGGAGAGGGAGGGGGAGGAGAGGGGTAGGGGACGGAATGAGAGGCTGTGCGAGGCTTGAATAAGTCCACAGTGGCAACAAGGCGAGAGTGGGTTAAGTGGCACGAGGGGAGAGGGGAGAGGGAGAGGGAGAGGGGAGAGGGGAGAGGGGAGAGGGAGAGGGAGAGGGGAGGGAGAAAGAGTAGCGGAGGGAGAGAGTAGAGAGGGGGAAAGGGGAGTGAGGGAAAGGGAGGGGAGTAGAGAAGGAAAGACTAGAGAGGGAGAGAATAAAAAAGGGAGAGAGTAGAGAAGGAGAGGGGAGAGGGGGGGAGAAAGAGTAGCGGAGGGAGAGAGTAGAGAGGGGGAAAGGGGAGTGAGGGGAAAGGGAAGGGAGTGGAGAAGGGAAAGACTAGAGAGGGGAGAGGGGAGAGAATAAAGAAGGGAGAGAGTAGAGAAGGGAGAGCGGAGAGCGAAGTGGGGAGAGGGAGTAGAGGTGGGAGAGGGGAATGGGGAGAGAGGAGAGCAAAGGAGGTGAGGAAGAGATAAGAGAGATGGAGCAAGAGTGAAGAATGGGGATAAGAGGGAGAAAAGAGGAAAGAGGCGAGTAGAGAGAGCAGAGAGAAGAGAAGAAAGATGGGAGCCAGGGAAAAGGAGAAGTAAAATGGGGGAAGGGATAAGGATAAGAAAGAGGGGGGAATGGGCAAGGAGAAGAAAAATGGGGAAGGGAGAAGGATAAGAAAGATGGAGGAATGGAGAAAAATAAGAAAGATGGGAGAAGGGAGAAAAATAAGAAAGATGGGAGGAAGGGAAAAGGTGTAAAATGGGGGAAGGGAGAAGGATAAGAAAGAAGGGAGGGAAGGGAGAAGGAGAAGAAAGATGGGGGGAAGGGAGGAGAAGAAAGCTTGGGGGGGG